GTCGCCGACGTTGCCCTCTTCCCTCCACCCCCTTTTCCATTAAAAACTATTCAAAACAGCTTTTTTCTCCCCCCCTTTAAAGACAAGGTGTCCAATATCAAAAGCGTTCAAGATGAAACGCTTAAAGCAGTTGATTTAACGGAGGGAACCAGCAGAATAACATTTTAATTCCAATGAAGTCCGAGAGAAGAGAATGTGAAGTCTAGCACCCCGGGACCCCAGCCAAGGGCGATGCAGAGGGTGGAGGCACGGCTTAGCCTGGAACAGAGGGGGCTGAGGGGATCCCGCCAATCTGCACACAAACACCCGAGGGTGTAAGGAGGACAGAGCCCGGCTCTTCAGTGCGGCACCCAGGGAAGGGACACCAGGCAACGGGCCACGATGCAGTGGGAGGTAACAGCACTGCCCCCCACGCTCCTTCAGCCAGTTCCTCCAGCCTAGCCCTGCTACTCCGAGCGAGGACACTGCAACACCCGGCACAAGTTACAGCCAGAGGCTGGACCCTGCTAACCCTCCCCGACTGCAGCAGCAGGTGGAGAAGCATCTGTAAGTATGTGCAATAGTGGTGGTACTTCAGAAAGGTAAAACGACAGTATTTTCCTGAAGATCAGAGGTCAGAAATCACCCTGTCTTCAAAGATGTCTGAGGACAGTACTGAATTACTTGCCTTAGTTAGCGACTGACTCCCTTCTTCACTGTGGCTTTTGGAAGGCAAGAGGCATAGTCCAAATGCACCTTTGGCAAACCTCTCAGACAATTAAAAAAGTCACATGCACTAGTTCTGTACACGTCTCTGACAAAAGGATGGTGGCTGTAGAGAAAGCAAAATGACATCTTATCTCCTACTGGATACCTAGGTGAAGTGTCAAAACCGTTTTGGCCTGCGTTGCAGCCACTAGAGCATACGAGCCTCCAAGGTTCAGTTCTTTAGCAGATGGAACAGTGCTTCCTCTCCCCTCAACCATTTAAACCCTTTTTTTCAAAGTGCTGTTAAAGAGCACTAGGTGTCTGTATCGGCATCTATCTATGCCTCCCTCCCTTAAGCATGAGACCCAGCCACAAGAGAACATACACCAGAGAATTTGTAAACATTGAAACAAACTGGGTAGAAGAATCAATTTAATTTCATAATTCAGCTATGTGAAACCAAAGATGTTGTACAGTTTAATTAATCAGTACTTCCTGTAAAATAGGTTCTTTACTACAGCAAAATAAATAAGTAGTTGACATGCAAAGAAGTAGTTTACAACCTAAAATCTGATTCCTAGTAATGAGCTGCATGGTCTTCATTTTCAGTAATATTGAACGAGTAATGGACTGTTGAAAAAAAAAAAAAAAGAATTTCTGATACTGTGACTCACCCAAGCGCAGCAGCCAGTATTCCAATTCACGTTAAGACAGTATTTCAGTCAAACTCTGTTTCACAAGTAACTTGTTCATAAGATACTATTTTATAACTTTTTGCATCATTGGAGTCTCTCATTGTATCTTGTCCCAAACTCACTTGTGGGACCAGAGCATTTCTATACTACAGTGATGCCCAGTACCTAGAGCCTGAAGCAAGTACGGAGCCGATCTGGTACTTACTAGAGCGTTCGTCAGCTCATGCTGAGCCCAGAACTGACACAGCATCGACCCAGCTCAGCGAGCAGCACCTCACAGCACCCTGTGCATGATGGCTTGCCCAGTCTGAAATTTTTAAACACTGGAAAGATACCCCGCAGTTATTACTAGGGCAACTGAACTTTTCAGTTCAGAACTTTGTTTTGAAGCAAGACAAAATTATTTACCTGTTTCACCTACAGACAGGTAATTTGCCTAATAAAACACTGACAAGGTCTTAAAGCAGTCTAGTTACTCAAACACTAGAATGCAAGCTCCTGTGAGAGCTGCTCCCGGCGTTGTCACTGCCCAGGCTGCTATGGCTAGCAGCAAATGGCTCCTGCTTGCTAGCTTTCACATGGGGTATGGAAATCCGTCTTACCTGCCTTACAGGGGATTCGGAGGATTTGTTTGCTGAAAACACTCTCACTTTAGTGGCTTGATAACAAGATGGCATACGAGTAAGAGGTACTTTAGTTACAAACGCACCAGCAAGTCGTTCTTAAGTACTTAATCACTACAACGATCTTTCTGCAAAGAAAAAGACATCGTTACCTAGACTTGCACTCAAACGGCTAAGAGCTGTGTCTCCCAAAACACAGAATGCAGAAGCGGTCACAATTATATTCACATTAATCATTAACAGCATAATAAAACCCAGTGACAAGATTTTTAGGAACTCATTAACAAGGGCATTAATGCACACACTTTTATTTAAACATGGCAAATTACAGAATAGTTAAAAGTTTGCCCACCCCCCCACCTCCCCAGAAAACCTGTGTACCTGGATATCAGAATTAGCACCTAGTGTTTATAAAGAAAATAAAGACTTTACAGTATTATTTACTGCAAGCACTGGTCAGATACGAAGCAGTTGGGTGCAGTGACACACGGATACATTAAATAATATGATTTCTTGTGATCATCTGATTAGCTCATCCTCAGCAGTGGAGTTTTGGGTAAATAGTTATCTCTGAAACACTAGGAATGCATAGTTCATAAGGCTAAATACATCTGATAAAAAGGGACAAATCACAGTTGTGGTCTGAAATTATTGCAGTGCAAATTTAAAATAGTGTTTTTAAAGCAGTGGAAAAGAATAAAGAGGTAGGTATTTTCCTCTTCGATGGTAAGAATTCAACATTGCTTAAGAGTAGTCAAGCTACGTAGCTTTATGTTAGATATCTCAGGTACACAAAACAAGCCATGGCAGACTGGATTAACTGGAAGATATTTAAAATGGTATATAAAATGTTTCACTGGCATAAAAAAGTTATATTGCAAGAGGTTACTTTTTGTGGAATGAGCTATTATTCTTAACTTGAAATACACCGATGAAACTTTTAGTGATTAAGCCGTATTTACCTTGATGTCCAACACTTTAGCAAGGTAACACCCTTTGCTAAAGGGGGGGGTCACTAAAGATCAGAAGACCGATGTTTCATGAAAATAAAGTGCACTTTTCTGCTTAGAGCGATGGCTCATGCTTCTTCTAAAAAGTAGCCTCTTATTATATGAACTTATTTATCTATCAGGATTGTCAAAAAAGCAATCAAGACCTAGCCCCACTGATGCAAATAACTAGGCAACGCCAGCAAGAGAAAGCCACGTTTGGTGCAACTCCTGCATTATCTCCTCCCCACCCCCTTTTTGTTCCACATTATGCAATTTTTAATAAAAATATTTCCTCCTTTTCTGAAGCTTGGCTCTACATTCTCTTCAAAAGTAGTAATATCAGCACTTACGTGCACCACTGAAGGCTGTCAGGTGTACTGACAAAACAGAGAGAACGTTTACATGAAGAAACGTCGTATTTTAAATAACACTTTTTTTTTTTTACAGACATTACAAGACGAGTTTCAAGTTTTCAAATCATTACAATATCCTCTCTGACTGTAATTCATTAGTTATACCATCTAGCTTACTGAAACATTAACAATGTACTTGTGTTTATACTGCAACATGATTTAACTGAAAGGTGCCAAAATGAACACTTTTATATCATTTTCACTCATACACAAGATGCCATGCACAGTTGAGACAGATTTTAAATCTATTTACAATTTTACATATTTTACAATATATATTTCATCTTTACAGCTACAGAATAAATTCAGACTAACATTGGTACCTTTTGAGGTTCTGCTGGAACTCAAATTCTTTAAGTTAAACTAATTATTAAAAACAAGTAAGTGCATGCCTAGAAGGAAGCTTTCAGGAAAGATGTCAATGGACTAGTGTTGCTTAAAAATTACACCGGTTTGTGTAGAAAATTTAAATTCAGTTCAAAAACCCACAAAAGCCTAATAGAAATCTACTTGACTAAAATAAATACAATTCATTACCCTTAACAAAAAAATGTACCTTTAAAAATGTACTGATTTAAGCTCATCTGATTTTTAGCCTTAATTTTACTTCCCTTCCCAAGTAGCAGATAGTACTAGGTGTGGATAACGATGCTTTTCGAAGTTAACACTGATAATTATCCTGCATAAACCTGAGGCTGCAGTGGTGGGGGCAGCTTGTCATTCTCCACATTTTCAGAGTCAATAGCTGCTAAGGCTTGATTTTTTGGTTTTATTTCTAATGGATATTTCTCAACAATATCTTGGACTTCCTTTGTAATTCCATCAGTCCAATCTATTAGGTCTTTCTCAAGCTTCTTGGCTTCATTGACAATTCTTTCCTGTCTCTCATTCAACTGAGATAGTAGGTCTAAGTTTTTATACATTTGCTTAACACCCAGGCACACATCAGGTGAAAAACTGTCAGATTCTTGCTTCTTCGGGGATGTCTGACCAGTCATGAAACGATCAAAATCTTCTTGGCTTAGATTTAAAGACTGAGCATCAAGTTTTTCAATGAAGGCCACAGCACAGCACTGCAAACAAAACAGAGTGAGTATCATTGCAAGCTACAGATTGGAACTTATGCATTCTATTTTTTTAATCCTGTTGTTAGACCAGTAACTGGTTATTTTATTTAATGCCTAAAGACCTTTTACAGATGCTAACTACATCAGACAGTTCACATGCCTCTCTTCTCTCCCCAAAGTTTAAAGAAGTCAAAAAACTGGAGAACGATACAGGAAGACACCGTTTCAGCGGAATGGTACTGAGTCACAGGATAACATCTATTACAAACCTCAGGTCACTGCATCTTGGAGGTGAGAGACCAGAAAGAACAAGACATGACAACTAGAGGAAAGCACTATATTAATATTTAATAATCTAATCAGCAGAGATCTGCTACGCTCTCTATTCATTTTCAGAAGGAAGGAACGCCAAATGCTCATCTTACCTTGTGGATGCTCTCCTCCTACTGAAAGGAATTTTTATCATTCCAAGTATTTCATTCAACTACGTATTTTCCCTCCAGCATCGCTTTACAATGAAATGCAGAGAAGCCAAGTTCATAATCATAATTCCTTCTAATATAAACAAGCACACCAATAAATGCCTCCTGCAGAAGCTTTACAAAGCCTGTTCACCTCCACACACTAATGGCCTAGTTCTGCAGTCCCTTCCAGAGATAAGTTCTCATGATCTTAAATATGGAACTTGGTATCCATAACATCTGCATAGTCCAGACTCAGGATTTGAGGAACAGAAAAAAGTATTTTATCTCTTTACAGAATAAAAATATACCCAAGTCTTAGCATCAGACTGTTCAAATAAAGGGTTTAATATTATAAAGAAAGCAAAGCACTGACTGGTTTGGAAAACAGATAAGGAAGAGGAAGGAGATATAAAGCAAAAAAGCTTTCTGTACTCTTAAGTGACCTCAACCACTATTTGAAGAGTAGTTTTAATTCCTACATCCAAATAAAAGACAATTTTCTTGTATGAAATGTCAACACTATTCCTGCACTTACCAGATTGGTAAAATAGTAGCCGTCTTCTCCTGTCATTAACCTGCTTGGATTACAGAAGCGTGTTATATACTGGATGTTAGACTGCAGGCGGGGTGGGTTTCCCTTCAAAACAATGTATATAAGTGTTGGAAGAAAGTCATCAGCAGAAGCTGGTTCATTTTTTGTGATTTTAATAGCATTAAATATATGCTTGCTGCACTTGGTGATGCATGCTAACTTATCACGAGGGACACGCTTTGAATCCATTTCAATAATATCTGTAAGATAAAAAAGTTCTCAAATCATTAAAACCATATTAATCAGACACCTGAATGAGTAGGACAATACTAAAATTGCATCATTTTTATCTGTAGTCCTTGATGTTCCATAAAAGTATCTGTTTATTCAACCCACTCTCGGTTCGGTCTAAGTATCTGAAATAGATCAGCTAAGCCTAAACACTTCTGCGACAGAAAAATTATTTCCACTTCACAGATGATCTACTAGTCCAATACCACAAAGACTACTGCAGATCTAAAAGCCTGGACCCCCTTCTGATGACAGCAGAAAATAATCTCTATGAAGAAATCTGAAATTTAAAGCTGTACACATAAACTTCATTGTTCACAAACCTGTAATTGCTTTTACAACCATATCGGAGACTTCTGGAATTTCTTCATTGACAGGAACACACAGCATTTGTGGAGTTACCCAGTGCAAAGCCCTGTGACAAGAAAAAATGGTAAATTCTGTGTCGGTAACATTCAGGTGTTTGAAACCAGCTGCTTCTTGAATTCAATGCACAAGGAGTGCTTTGTGTAAATGAGGCACTAGTCCAGTAATAAGCTAGTTTATTCCACTGAAATATTTGTTTCCAGAAAAAATATTGTCTTTTTCTGCTATAATTTAACAAAAGCACACCAATTAGTTTTCCTAGCATAGCAGCTTTCATTATTTATTCTACTCATTACTTCTGTTTCTTAAATAAAGTGTTTTTAACTCTTTCTAGTTAAAAAGCTTGCCATTTTTGTATGTACAGCAAAATATTTTTAACATGCTTGATTTGGAGCTTATTGACAGGACTCTGTATTACTCAACCATTTTTCTTTCAAAGACTTACCTGATTCTCTTTTGGACAGCAAGATCTTTCTTCTCATCGTCAGTTGTTTCAGGGCAAAAGACATATTTATACTGTCGAGTCATAATGTATTTTTCAATCTGATCCATTGCTTTCTCAACTTTTTCTGGGGGCACTGAAAGGTACAAATCCCATCCCCATTATTTTAATACAGTAAATGAAGTACTCCATGGCTCTTTTGAAGATTTACTACAGTTTGGTCCTAATATCACCAAATCAGTACTACTGACTTGAGCCAACCTGAGTTAATAAAGAATGGATATAATTGGAATATTTTCACTCTCTACAGAAGTAAAAATACCATGGTGAGAACACCACAGGGACATGCCAAAGTAAGTACATGCACAGGTTCACAATGAAGCATGTTCAACACACAAATTAGGTTCCGCTGCTCGTAGCTTACAAGAACATTTCTCGAAAGTACAGTCTTTGAGAATAAATCCAGCGAGGTCTTCCAAGTCCTCTGTTCCCATTTATGTCTAAAAAAAATCCCTGGGTATGTTTAAGCTGTGCCACTTACATACCAGGCACATAAAAGCAGCGGGCAACAGAAGCACTCCCCTCTCACTGGCTTCCAGTGCACTACAGTGTACTGTAAGGCTCACAGCCTGTTAATTGCGTTGAGGCTACACTTTCAACCTCAGTTTTAAACAAATAGTATTGAATTTAAAACAAGAAATTAACTGAACCACATTTAATTGAGAGTTTAAGAAAAACCTGTAAAAACAAGTAATTTAGACCGCAAAACTTCATAGAACTGGTGCTGCTGGGAATAGTTCTAACTACGGCACTAGAATTTGTTAACAGCATTTCTGAGCACTGGTTAGGAATGCTTTGTTTTTACTTGAAAATGCAAGAGGCTTTATCCTCAAAACATTACTTTTTCAGCAGTAAGACAGGAGGAAGAGGAACATGATACCTTTCCAACGTGTCTGTAACTTTTCTGCTACATTTTGATAGAAGTCCTGGGCACATTCAGATTGCTCCTCAATACTTAAGTCCTGTAACAGAAAACTGATTAAGTATGCACGTGTGGAAAAAAGAGCAGCAATGCCTCTGATGGGTTTTTTTTTGTTTAAGGAAAGCATCCAGCTGCAGTAACAGTCTGAGAATGCAAATATATCGTCAGAGGTGTTTACATTGGCTAAATTATATTCAAAAATATGAGGAACCGAGACATAGCTGCTCTTTAACATGTGAAAGGCTTACGTTTATTTGCTGAACAGATGTGTATTAGCAATGGAATTGGACAGGAGCAGTGCCATTTTCCCCAGACACATCTGGGGAAATGGTGAAAAAATAATGTAGGCTATTAAGCAGAGCATTTGCTCCCAATTTTGTCTCTAACTTTTTAAAAGATTGTATACAGTATACCAAAAAACAAAGAATATAAATAATATATTGGAAAGAATATCTATACAATAAACCCTTCTAATGATAAAGTTACTATGAAATACATTCACAATGTTCTTTGCGAAACAACATTGTCCTTTGAGCATTAACCGAGCTACTGAAGAACAAAATGGAGGTTCGAAGGGTTAAAAATTAACTTTACTGATCAAGTCACTTTTCACCATTAAATGGCGGCATAAAAACATAAGTAAAAAAAAAAAATGGAGAGAGAACTTAATTTCTGAATCCTCCAAGGCCAAAAACTAGACGGTTACCGTGAACACAAAGTCTCAGTTCTGATAGCAGCACTGCATTTTAAGCCTTGGGTAGTAGCAAATTGTATGTTTTGAGAAAGACTTCTTTTTGACTAGCACAAACTACCAAGGGGCCAGGAAATGAGAGTACTTTCAATGTTTATAGCCAATAATAATAATACACTATTTTCACAAACTCTATGCTTAGAATGAATCAGTTCTAAAAGAAAAAAAAACTTTAAAATGTTTTCAAAATGGAGGGCATGTAAAATTCCATCAGTACTCTGTTTAATTTCCAGTCCAATTTGAGGATATAATTTGCATAACTAGATACTAACCAGGAAAGGGGAGGGGGGGAAGGCGTGCTGAATACTGACTCATTTCAACCATAGGTGGCACTACATACACATTAATATTTCAAGAACATTAAATTTTTTATATGGAGAATGCTATAACCCATATTAAAAAAAAAAACAAAACCCACAGTCAAGTTCCCCTTACACAAAGGAGACATGTGGTTTGATACTTTATTATCTTTAAGACTTTGTAGACTTAAGATATCTAAAAACTCATTATGTAATATATTATAATTTCCGTAAGTCCTAGTTATCTAGAAAGTTGTTTGTTCAGCAGACATTTTATCTTTCCGAACTAATTTATTCAGGATGCAAAGGAAAGTTCTCTCAAGACACCTGAGATACTGGGGTTTGAGGGTTTCTTTGGTCATATACTGTACCAAAAAGGAAGGCATTCAGAATTTAAGACTGCCGCTAGATTTTCATTTGACTAAGCATATCAGCTGAAGACTCCTGTATACAATATACAAAAACCAAATTGCTGGAAGAAAAGCAGCATTTTATCCACCTCTCCCTAATTTCCCCATTTTATTTATGTAAAAGGCATGCAAAACTTACCCTTTTATGATTCATTGTGTCCAAAAATAGTTTACATTGCTTATAGATATCTTGTCCAGGTTTATGATATGTCTTGAGAAATTCTATGAATTCCTTGGATACTCGATCTGTCTCGATGCTAGCCTGCCTGTTTATAGAAGGGCTGGGAGCCTTGGCTTCTTGGATCTCTGCTGGGAAAATTTGGGCACATCAGATTAGCTTTGTTACACTGATGGGTGAATTCAGGAAGAGTTTAACATGTGTTAAAATTTCAGGTTTTTTTTTTTTCAACTGTGCAGATGAATAAGCATTTATTTCTCAAGCTTTACCCGGGAAATGCTGGATTTTATTAAACAGAACTCTAGGAAACAGAATGTTCCAGTGAAACATTTATAGCCACACCCCCATTTACACTAATGGCCTTTTTATATTAGCAAATTACTGTAACACAGATTGGTTTTCCGGTTTCTTACATTTTCATTCCCAAGTAAGATATCTCCACATAAGGTCAAGGCTTCCAGATAGGATTCTGCAGCAGTTTAAGATAATGGAGTGGTCCCTTTTCCATCCTCCCTCACCTTCACACTCCTGCTCCTTTGCTTGCACCAACACAAGTATTCATTCAGCTGGCTCATGAACTAGCTCAGGGAGCCGTAGTTTGGGGCAGTCCTAGCCAGAAAGCAGTGTTTCTTACGGGGTTATTTTTCCGCTTGCTCAGCTGCCCAGGCCGGCTTCCTGCCGGCTCACAGGAGCAGCAGCAGCACGAGACAAGGGACGGGAGCGTGAGGCTGCTGCAAGGGCGGCAGATGCCACAGAATCGCTCCTGCAGTGTAAATGAGAACTTGGCCGTTTGTGTTTCGGCGAGAGCAGAAGCACCGCATCTGTCCGAGGAGGAACCTGCTCGGCACTCAAGGAGGAGGCAGGAACACGGACTGCTCACAGCACTGGATGCAAGTTTATAGAGCTGCAACCACAGGGGTTTTTCCACACAAACACATTTGATTTTCCAAGGTATACGCTGCAAGTTAATCGTACCGATCCAATACCTTCACTACCCAAGTTTAGTTCACCCACCTTTCAACTTGCCAGCCAACACTGTTCAAAATGAAGGATTGAATAGAGATGATGTAAATGAACATGATGAAAAGCAAGCAACAAAGAGACAGAAAACATGAAAATATTCATGATCAACATGATACAATCATATGTTTCAACCCAAAAAGACTAACATGCACAACAACAAAAGAAATTTTGCAATTAGCATACATGCAAGAACTCCAAAATAAAAGGAAAATAAATGGGATTAGTATATTTAAATTGCCACATTTAATTTGAACTTGAGGCAGCTTATGAGTTTTGCTGTTGCTGTTATTTGTTGTTATATATATAAGAGATCCAGCACTATAGTAAATTCAAAGCCGTATGATCCAGTGACTAACAAACACCGATCATTTGACCAAAGCACAAGACTCATTAGGACCTCTACAATTCAGCATAACCTTCGCTGGATAATTTGGTCAGATACCATTAGAACATTTATAGTATTGAAGTGATAAGAATGGAAAAGGTTTTACAAATATTTACATTCCAACTGTAGCAATAAAAATAGGAAGTGCAAATCGATCTCCTTTCTAGTTACACAAGAACACTTTTTCCACAGGGGTTTTCCTCTGACATTCTTTATACCCAAGATTCAAAGTAGAATGCCTGTACAGTATACAAGCTGAACAGCAACCAATGCTAAATGTTGATCTAAATTTGTTCCACTTAATGTTACATAACCAGGAAGAAGAGAGCATAGTTTTGAAATAACAAAGAAAGCAGGTACACTTTTGAAAGGGTAGAATCATAAGATACTTTTTCCACAATTGATTACTGACTTCATTTTAAAGAACAGGTGAAGATCTATTTATTTGTTTCAACACTGAGTTCACTGTATTGTAAAAATAAAGAACCTCATTCCAGTCTTTGAGCTTAAGGAATATGAATATGTTTTTTTCAGTCACAGGTTTACCAGAGATTATTTTTTTAGTGAGGAGAGAGATGTAGTCAACTGAGGCAGATTACTGTTAGTGTAGGCATTAAAAAAACTGAATGTTAAAATGAACTTTTTAATGAGTCACACCAAGAACTACATGCAGTGACTCAGAAATGTTGAAACCTCATTAATATCTGCATTGAAATCCTGATTAAAGGAAAATGAATCTGTACAATATGCACCGATTACTAAGGACTGCAGGAGCAAATGTACTTTCAGCAATAAAATATTTTCAGCTTTGTCATGTACTCTAAAAGAATTAAGTCCAACTAGAAGAGGCTGATTACAGAAAAGAAATTCCATCTGAACAAGTTAAAGAGAACCTAGTAGAGAAGATATGCCAAAATGAAAAGGTAGAGTTAAGAAAGGATCACCTTTACAAAGCATAAACACTATTAATATTAAAAATCTTTCTCAAGGCATTCTACAAAAATGCTAGTTGTCACAGCAGAACATTAGCACTCCAGTGATTCACTATGGTTGTGCCATGGTCCTGGATCTGAGTCCAAGTAAAGAATATAAGAGAAGTGTTGTCATTAGCTCTGCTACACACACCCATTCATCATCTTCATATGACTTGCAAAATAAAGAACAGTACATCTTCAAATTTCTTTAGTCAACAGAACACGTCAGAATTGCAAAGAAATAACATAGGACAAGATCCTAAAGCTGTTTGCACCAAGGGTTTTGGTGTCCTTTTGGTTTAAATGAAACCAGTATGTCCTCTCTTGAATTGCAATTGTCATTTTGATTAATGTAACAAATTATGTTACAGATGTTTTGAAAATGCACAAGTTCTTGACGTGTGAACTATTAAATTGAAATAGTTTCAATTTATAATCAGAATTAAAATGGCAATCTGGAATTTTTTTAATAGAAATATGAAGCAGCACAAGATCTAGCTACTTCTTACAACATTCTTATTTTTTTGAAACTGCATAATCCTTCAGATGTCATGCTAAGGTAGAGCTCAAAGAAGCTTCAGCTTTATTCCTATACTCTCCCTACCAAAAAGCAATGAATTAGAGACTCAAGTTCACCTCAAGATGCTAGACTGGCTTTTATCATCTTCATATTCAACAGCACAAGTTAGAACTGGCACAACCCTAGTTTGTATTTTGCAAAGCCCAACTAAGAACTAAGCTTACTATAATCAAGCAGACAGCTTGCTCAAGCTGTACTGCATTACCTTCAGTAGGGGAAGCCAGTTCCCAGGAGGGAGTAAATATCTCCTTCAAATCCCTGAGAATGTTATCAGCATTTCGCTCCCTCCCAAGCTGTCCTTGCTTAACGATTTTCTCTTGAGCCACTGAAATAAATGCAAAAGCAAGCCAGACACCAAGAGCAGGAACATGTCAGGAGAGATGGTGAAGGAGATAAAAAAAAGAAAATATGGAGAGTGAGAAGAATGAACATAAAAAAAAAGTTTCTAATACATAGCTGAATGCCTCATTTAGCCAGCTGCTGCCCATGCACCAAGACAAATTCTAAGATGAAATTCAGACATATTTAGAATTTCTTATTAAGGAAATGCATTGTCTATAAGGCTAGGACACATTAATGTTGCTTTTTCTTCTGGAATGTCTCCTCCACAGTCTAACATTTTCTGTTGTTTGCCCACGAAAGCTATTACTATGCAAAGACATCAGTGCCATTAATCATTCTTACTTGTAACACATGCTGTAGAATAAACATTTAGCCAAGCACAATATTCACAACCCACATATGCACAAACACTACAAGCTTCCTTTCACATTTATTTTCATTTAAAGGCACCCTGCTTACACATTCCAATTTTCCTGTTAAAGCTGTTGAAGCGATCCACTATGGCAGCATCATCTGACACTTTATATCAGCATTTCTCTCACATTTGGACATATCAGTTTGAGGTGACGGATAGCCAGCACCTTTTCTCATGCCTTCCTCAGGAAGAGTTCCCCTTCAAGTCCTAAACCACAGTACCACGCTATGGTTGACTAGTGAATCTAGCAAGAACGTGCATCATACAAAGAAGATACTTCTACTCAGCAGTGCAGTAGACCACCACCAGGAACACATTTCTACTACTACACTTTAGTGGAAGAACTCCTGTATAACTAACACAAACACAGCCACAGATTTAGAAGTGCGCCGTTCTATTTAAGAGATTGTTTGCTATCACCCAAAAGCTCACGTTTTCAGTACGACTTCACATATCGCTCTCCAGAAGCATCATTATTGCAACTTTTTAAAGTCACGTCACAGAGCATTACTCTGCCTTTTAGTATAATACATGTATCAAAAAAAGCTTTTCAACATAACATGTTGTACAGAACCATTAAAGGAGACAGTTACCCTTCTTAGCGCCTGTTCTGGAAGAAGCAATGAAGAACTTCTTCACAGTAGTGACCTTTCGTGTTTTCTCATTGGTTTTCTTCTCTTCAAATTTTGAAAAGGTCAGTGACTGTGCCCCTTGGGTACTCTGACTACTGGCATACGCTTCTTCCTCCTCACGCTGAAGCCTGGAATTAGAAAAAGGCAGGTCTAATTTAAGTGCCTAAAGCAGCACAAATAAGCTAGTCTCCTGTGCAAGAAATTAGTTACTCATTTGACACGCTAATTCTCCTCTATACCCATCTTCATTTCTTGCTTCCTACCATGTTGTAATGGTGAAAGTGGGGGAAAGCTTAAGATGGCCAGGGAGGATTACATAGTAAGGTCAAAAGGGAGGAGACAAGTATAATCATGGTCACCTTCCCCTCATGTCACAGCCCTGAATTCTACAAACAGGTAAAGGCGAGGGGAAAGACTGCAGAAGCATTTCCAATAATCAATTCAGTCACCTTCCTCCCTGCATCCTGTTCAGAGTTTCACCATCTATTACCACAGACCATCATTTACCGTCTTACCGAAGACAAAAACCATGTCTCGCAGCTGAGCAAGTGAAATACCCTTTCACAATCTCAGAAATATTCTGAGAGACGTTACTGTTGTCATAACTTGTTTTGAAAGTCTTGGTAATACATAGGCTTGATTGAAAAAATGAGGCAAATCACTTTACTGCAACATTGATGGGTGTTTTGCAAAGACCAAGCCCATCTTTTAATCTACGTGTACAAAGTAGGGGAGGGCAAATGTACTCATCTTTCAATGGCTACTTTTCTTCCTACACAGGAGGATTAAAATAGGTTAAATTATATTGCCCTTCAAGATGCTAAAAGGTTGAGCAATTTTCTTTGAAAATCCATCCAGCTCAGGATGGACCACAAATGGTCTTGCATTTGTAATCTCAAGGAAGGAATTGAGTCTTATCTGTGCTGACAAGCCTGCCTGTTCACTACAGCAAACAATCACAGCTTATCTGTTCCTTTAGCATCTCCCTATTGAACAGGTACTTATTAAACAATTCCTTAAATGCCCCATTTTATTGTACATAGATTTTATAAGATTGACAGCGTAACTATCTGCTCTAGTAATACTGAAGTCCTTAATAACTGTTTAAGCCAAATTTATGGCACAGCAAAAAAATTACATGTCCTCTGTACTGTACTCAACAGCTTACCTGGCACCTTCTGATGAGGCTAGAAAAGATTTCAAGCACTTCTTTTTACCTGTCTTGCAGTTAATCAGTTCCAGTGCCAGACAGCAAAGAGAACTTTAAAAACAAACTACTTCAAGGCCTAAGGTAAGAGGGCCTAGGGTAGTTAGATACCAGAAAACTTGGGGCTTCCAAACCATAACCATGAGTTTGGACCCAACTCAAGTTCAGAGAGCTTCCACAGGTGTCACCTTCATGAGGCAGGCTGATGTGAACAGTGCAATCAATGCCTTTCCCTGCCCTCCCCCAATGACCTTGGTTAACGTATCACTAGGTAAACTCAAGTTTCCAAAGTGTTCCAGACACGACTGCAGACACGCGTCTCAAGTCGTTCGCACTTTTTCCTAGAGTTCTGGTATACACCACTAACACAGTAAGGTAAGCATACATAGAGAATCTGTGTCAATGTGAACAAACATCTTGGCCAGCTCAAGTCAACAGCCAATCAACTCTTAACACACAGCTAGATGCTCCTCCATCTCAAGAGTTCACATATTGCTGAAACAGTTAATTCTGAGTGGATGTCATGTAACTCACACCCAGAAGCGACACAAAGGACAGCTGTAGTACAAAAGAGGATGCTCGAAGTTTCTCAGGCAGTGGATAACGCTTTTGCTTTTTACTCAAACCCAACAAAAAGCAGTTGTAGCTGCTCATATTTTCTCACTCAGTCGTAGGTTTCCACGATTTTCAGGGTCAAGCATTTATCACACTAGGAAAATGAGACTGTTTTGCAGAGAAAATACAGGCTTAGAAAAACTACCTGAATTATTAAAGCTAAAGCTTTGATGCTTTTGGGCTTAACCTCGCAGAAGAATGACTACGGACACAATTTTTTTAATCAGTAGCTGAAATGTAAAACCATTGTGATGGCTATATTCAAGACAATAATTGTGGTCTCCAGAGGCAGAGGTATTTTAATCAAAATTGTCATTTTCACCCTTCCAACCGCTCGTTAGAATTACAGACTTCAGTATGCAAATTAGGTCAAAGTATTTGTTTGAGGGTGGGGAGATGTTTACATTTGTTACTTCACAGACTTTCTTTTGAAACCTCTTAAATTAGAATGTCATAAATATTCATCTTTGCATCAAAAGGAAGATTTTAATTCCTGATGGAAAAGGTCGAGTTTGAGAACTTATGATGCAACTAAGCCAGAGCAAATAGGATTAGAAAACAGGAGATAGGAATAGTATTTAGTGAAGTCACCCTACTGTAAGAGATAAAGGAAGAAAGAGGGCTCTTTACCGCTCTGCCAGCTCCCAGTCCTCTTGAATCTGTTTCTGCCTGGCCTTATGGTATTCCTCTCTCCAGCACTTGGAGCAAAACCCCTGCCAAGCAGGATTGCCATAGTAACCACATCCCTTCTTGCACAGGAGCTCTGATTGATCAACGTGAATTCCTCTGCGTTCAGATTTCAGGTTCATTTTCTTCCTGTTAAAAAAGGAAAGGGTTAAAGACAGAAGCATGATTAACAGCCTACTAGAAATAATTTCTTTCTAGAAGACAAGCCTTCAAAAGAAGTCACCTGTTTTAACTAGTGAATAGCTCCGTAACAACAAAACAAGGCCACCGGAGGAAGGACACATATATAAAATAAGCACGCAGCCCCAAAAGCCAACTGCAGCATCAGCATATGCTTGCACAGCTTTGACCTGCCGACAGTACTAGACAGCTGGCCTGGAAAGCACAAAGCAAAGGAGGGGAAAAAAGAAATACCGAAAGTTACAGTCACCACCGAAGAGAAGCAAGCTGGGTAAGAGCCAACATGAAAATACATTTGTATTCAGGCTGAGACTGTCTCTGCAAAGAATCACTGGCGAGACTTCAGATAACAACTATGGCCCCAACGAATACGTCTTCACAGCACAGTGCAGTATCACGGCTCAGCCGGCGCGGTACGTTAACATGGATGAGGTGCACTTCCATTTCCTTCAGTACTCCAGTTACTTCAGAGTTTAGCTGGGCATCTACAAAATTTGTATCTCGTGACTGCGACAAAAAGATTTATATTCATGCCTACACCACCACTGTGTGGAGCCTGTCCTCCAACGACCCAGCAATCCCCTTTTTTTTTTTGACTGAAAGAAATCATCCCACCTGCCAGCTTGCTCTCAAAAGGCATTTCAACTGCTTCATTCTAATTCTAAATGCTGGATTCATTTTGGGAGAAAAGCGGCACAGGATCACCTGCGCTCGCAAGCGTAAGGTCCGCAGATTAAAACATCAACGTTTGGATTGCAACATCGACATACACAGACACTAGCAATATCACAGCAAGGCACTACAAAGCAGGTCTCGGTCACCAAATCCAGCCCCTTTTTCTTCCTTCGATCCCCAGCAGCGAGCGCGTCGCATAAGCTGAGCGAGCACCTTAGCAATTCGGTTTCTTGCTCTCTCATTCGTACCCAAAGGCACCTCTAGGACTTCCTTCCTCTGTCAGGAAAACCAGAAGATTTTTAAGCCTCGCAGCTTGAATACCCTGCCCTCCCTCCGGCACATTATTTAAGATCAGAATACACGCTGAGAAGCAACATACGGGAAGATGAAAAGCCATTTTCTTAAACTGAAGAACGTCAGTAACTGTCAGGGAAATCTTGTTTTCCCTTGAGATTCATAACGACCCTTACGTTCCTATGTGTGAGGAACCTGGATCTCTGGTTGCTCATGCTTCTGCCCAGCAGAGGTTACTCGCCGCCGGAAGCTCTCGCACTCAACAGTCTGAGGAAGAGCCCCAAACTCTTCTCTGGGTCATCCAGTGGAACAGATGTGAGATGCAAAACCATCATTATCAAAGATCGTTTGCTACTACAGGAAGTAACAGCCATTTTGTTCCAAGCTAAATTATGTAAGATCAACCATTTAAAAAAACTGATAATGTTTTACATTTCCCATTAATCTAAGCAGGTTATTTTAAGTAAAGTGACGGGAAACATGATTCTCTCTGAAAGGGGCAACAAATTAAATATTCTATTTATCTATGTAAGTATTAACACTCCTTTCACTAACATCTTCTCTGTCTTTGAAAGAAGTAATGAGTTTCTAAAAATAATCTAAAAATGGTTTCATTGTAGAGACCTGTATATTAAAGAAAGCAGTTTCTTAATGGCACAATTTATAAAGACACATTTTCTCATTTATATAGACAGTGAGCAGCTGAATATTTTCTCTTCTGTCCTACAGAAATGTCTGACAATTGAACAGACATTAATACACTTCTGCAAAGCAAAATTTAAAACAAACAACTAGATTTTAAATATTAGAGACCATTTTACTTCAATCCCATCTGGACAAATTAACAGGGGAAAATAAGTACATTGCCTTCACAAAATTAGTTTCTGTACTATCTTCATTTTTTGATTCCTCAAGTAAGGTCTTTATGTTGACTGTAACAGTACAGGGATCTGCTGACTGACAATCTAGCAGAAATTAAACATCAAATTTTTGTAAAGCATTTTGTAAGCAGGTCTCATAGTAGCAAGATTTTTTTTTTTTTTTTTTTGCATTCTTTCAGGAGAGGTTTGTAAAGAGCTGTAAAACCAAACCACTAGAAAGCAAGTTGTTCTGTTTCCTCCCCTTCGAGTATTTTCGATTGCAGTTACACCAGTTTCAGATCCATGGACAAAAGAGGCCATCCTCAATCAACAGGAAGAAATCTCACGCAGCACTTAACGCGGAGGCTTTCTGCTTCCTTTAAACACCACGTGTTTATGGCCATATGCCATTACAAAAAGAGTTTCACAGCCAATTTTTGCAGGTCAGCATTTACGTTTCAATGAACAGAACAACTCAACAAGTTACAATAAACTGAACATGAAAAATCCATCTCAAGTCAACTTTCTGTGACTAAATCACTGTGTACTTTATGATCTTCCATTCCTAAAAATGTTTTGTTGGAATTTTTTGAGTGTCCAAAATGCTTTTTTTTCTTCCACTATTCCCTTCTCTCCCTTCCACTCCAGCTAAAGGTGTATCATTCTTTATTCAAGGATCAACTCCTCAATGTATTTGCAGTCACACCACTTATTTTGTGTGATCAGACCTCTTTCTTTCATTCATGTCCTGAATGCATGACCTGTTCAAAGCTCACTTCTAGTAACATAATCCAAAAGAAAGAACAAATTTGTTGTTCTTCTGGAGTCGGAGAGGTAGGCAACTCTGAAGAGCTTTCATAGTGCCTGACCACTGAGGATGCAGGAAAACAATAATAAGGAAGGCCACAAACTTCCAAATATATATTAAAAAAAAATTAATCCAGAAGGAAAATAGAGTACCAGAAGATCATAAATAAAATTAACTAGTGCAATTTGGAAAGGTACACTGCCCCAAACATCCTTTTACATCTCCTGTATCTCAATTAGAACGCTTTTTAACAACTTCAAGAACACCACGTCTCCCTCTCAGGAGCGAATGCCTGCAATTTAAAGTATACTCACACATTGCTTTGCTCAATAAGTGCTTCAGATAGTTCTGCTGTATCAGGGAAAGCAGACATGACACTTCCTGACAAATACCGTAATACAGAATCTTCTTTTAAGCATTTCTGTACCAACACTAGACCTCATCAAAGGTTAATATCGATGTTAATTTAGCAGCACCCCTTTGAAAAGTTTACCAAAAGAAGAGGGTCTCAGACAGTTACTAACTTACAAAGTCCCTTTTCCCTTGTTACTTATTTGCAAGTAAAGGCTTCTTCCCTCCCACCTTCCTCTGAAATGGAGAGCACCCAACGCCTTCCTACAATCACCACCTTTAAACTCCGCCTAACGCACCGTGTGCGGTTCCTTAGAGGATCGCTGCTAACGTGTGCTGTCATAACGTGGCTGCAAAAGGGGATTTCTTCTGGACAATTGCAACATGGAAAGCTGTCCCCAACCAGTGTATTTGTACCACAGCTAACAGAGGACTAAACTTTATGGACACCAAAAAGCTCCTTGTCTTACGGCGCATGCATTCCCGGGCCGGTACCTACCCTCCTGACAGCACACCAACTCCGAGCTCCAGCATCAGCTGCCCATGGCTACGTCTCTCCACACTGTTCTAGACGTTGAGCTTTATTTTTCCAAACTGTAGTGATACCAAGAGCAGGTGAATACTCGTGTGCTGCTGGTAAAAAAAATACCACACTGTGGTTTCACTCAAAATTAGCTTTTTACTTGCTTTAATGCTATTCATTCTGAAGCTCTCAAATGTATCTTCCTATCAACACATTTTTCTTGTTGTACCTTGACTCATTTAATTTTTTTTTTTTTTTATTCAGTAGCATTTTGAGCACCTGCTTACTTCGAGCAAATACTTTTCAAAAAGTGCAATACCAACTCAGGGTATTGGGTTTCTTGTCCCTTGCTCACACCCCTAGATTTTTCCTGTCGTTCGTCATCCAAGAATATCTAATAAACCATAGCTCTTACTTCAGAAACAAGAAATTCACATAACCTTTTTAGGAAGGATAAACCATCTGTCTGCCCACCAATTCCTCTGTGACTCTGTCAAAGGTGCAACTGAAAACGAACGTGCAAACAGTACAGGGTTTCAGTTACCACAGTCATAGAAGTAGACATCTGAGCCAAAACCAGAAAACCCAACTTTTCTGCAAAATACTGCTGGCCTACAGCCACATCACTTTCCCCGAGTCACATACGTCAATCTGTCTTCGAAGATTTACTAAAGAAAACACAGAAAGAGTTAAGACACAGGAAACATGCATTTTGTATTATCAAAATATTATCAAAGAAAAAGAATCAAAGCGTTAAGGTCGATCAGGGACGAGGGGAGCAGGTTGGGCGAGACTGGAGGAAAGAGGAAAGGGTTGTTTTTTTAAGAAATGTTTTCTATTGACCTGAAGTGCAATAGTATTTATTAAGCACTCACATTCAATAAAACCTGCATTCTAGCTTTCAAGGATTTTCAGCTTCAGGTCTCAGGAGCCCAAGTTTCTCATGGGAAGCAATAAGGATACATCTAAGTCTACAAAGTGATTCCATCAAAGCATTTAGTCTTCAGACAACATTTGCAGACTGCAAGCTACGTTCTTAATTCTCCACACACTGCTGGGAAACAGCTACAGACACCAGAACACCATCTGTAACAGTCACCAAAGCTCAGGCAGCAACACTTTGCTTACGTTCCACCACCACTTGGTCTAGTGCCAAGTACATCAGGCGTCCAACCTCTGGCATCTTGACTGCTCATATAAAAAGACAGTGAAGTTCACCAACATCAGTGCAGAACTAGCCAGATTGCACTGACACAGAATTAGGCAACTAGATACTATTTTACTTTTTTTATGAAGGTTTTCCACTACATTCCCACGGGACTAAAGATTAAACCTTCATAATCAGTGCTATTTCACAATTAAAACTATGGGATAAGAAGAGAGCTCAAAAGTTTGCCAACACCTGATGATCGCATATGGTATCTTGATATG